TTTTTCATATGTATTTTAAATTGTAGAACAACTAATGTTTTGAAGAAGCAATGCAAGTTGAAATTTATGGGATATTTTGCAGAAATAAAGATTGAGATTTTAAATATTTGAGTCAAGATCAAAATTATCAAAATCTTTTTGTGGAAAGAACTCATCATGATTTGCATTAGGTTGTGATCTTGAAGAAGACTGGATTTCATCCTCTCAAGGGACTGATGATGGTATCCAAGGCTGCTTTTGAATATCATACTCGAAAAACATGGTAAATTGGATCACAATATGCGGTATGTAAAGATCAATTTTATTGGTAAGTAGATTTTTTTTTATTTTTTTTTTTTTTTTTATTGTTTTCAATGTCTCTTTACTTGCCAAATTGTTAGAATTTTCCTTCTTTTAGATGCTTGTTTATGGGTGATTTTCTCTTTCTGTATTGAATCTGTAATTTCTTTACTCCCCCATTCTTATGGATTCCCAAGAAAATCAAGAACCCCATCACTCACCACAACCCACTCAAACTCACCCCTTGTTCTTCAAATTCAGTTGCTTCTATTTATTGTCAATACTAGTTCTACTTCTAGCAATCTTATTCAGTTTCACCTACACAGACTACTACAAAATTCAATTTCTGAATGCAACTCTCTCACCAGAGTCTTCCCATTTTCATAAGCTTCTAGGGTTTCTTCACTCAAACCCAACAACCAAACAAAACCCACAACCAAACCCTATTTCCAAACCGCCTTATTGTGTGCTATGGATGGCCCCTTTTCTTTCAGGTGGTGGGTATAGCTCAGAAGCTTGGTCTTATATCTTAGCTTTACATGAAAACAAGAAAAACCCTAGCTTTAGAATGAGTATTCATCAACATGGTGATCTTGAAATTCTTGAGTTTTGGGAGGGTTTGCCTCAGGAGATGAAAAAATTGGCTCTTGAGCTTTACCAAACAGAATGTGAAATGGATGATAATACCATTGTGATATGTCATAGTGAGCCTGGTGCTTGGTACCCTCCTCTGTTTCAGACACTCCCATGCCCACCAACTGGTTATGAAAATTACAGATTCATAATTGGTAGGACTATGTTTGAGACTGATAGGTTGAATCCTGAGCACGTAAGGCGGTGTAATCAAATGGATTCTGTATGGGTTCCTACTGAATTCCATGTGTCTACATTCATACAAAGTGGGGTTGATTCGTCGAAGGTTGTGAAAATTGTTCAACCTGTTGATGCGAATTTCTTTGATCCTGTCAAGTATAAGCCATTAGACCTTGCCTCTATAGGGACTATAGTTTTGGGCTCAACTCCATTGAATTCAAATCCCGATAACAAGTTTGTTTTCTTGAGCATTTTCAAGTGGGAATATAGGAAGGGTTGGGATGTGTTGTTGCAGGCATACTTAAAAGAATTCTCTAATGTCGATGGGGTTGCTTTGTATTTGTTAACGAATCCATATCACTCCGGTAGAGATTTTGGCAACAAGATTGTGGAGTTTGTTGAGGGTTCTGATTTAGTAAAACCGGTTGATGGGTGGGCTCCGATTTACGTGATTGATGCCCACATACCTCACGTTGATCTACCAAGACTATACAATGCAGCTGATGCATTTGTTCTTCCATCAAGAGGGGAAGGATGGGGCCGGCCTATTGTGGAGGCCATGGCAATGTCGTTGCCAGTGATCACAACGAATTGGTCTGGTCCCACTGAGTACATAACGGAGGAAAATAGCTATCCCTTGTCGGTGGATGTTCTGAGTGAAGTATCTGAAGGACCGTTCAGAGGGCATAAATGGGCTGAGCCTTCTGTTGATAAGCTTCAAGTTCTGATAAGGCATGTGATGAGTGATCGTGAAGAAGCTAAGGCTAGAGGAAGGAGAGCGAGGGAAGACATGATCAGTAGATTCTCTCCTGAGATTGTTGCTGAGATTGTTACTGATCGTATACATCAGATACTTAACAAAACGGCTTGAGATATTGACTTGAATTATGTCCATTACTGGGATTTTATGGCCAATATCGCTCGTGTTGCTCGAACTTGATTTGTTCAGTGATTGAACTTCTATCTTGTATTTGAGTCAGATTCTATTTCATGTTATATTGTTATTGCAGTATTGTGTTTGGTTTTAATTGTTTGTTCTGGTTTTGAATACATGATACTATTGAATAATTTCAACATAGATTTTTATTCTGTATTTTCTGATTTGTTTAAATAGAGACTTTTCCTGCATAATCTGTTCAGAATTTATTTTAGACAGAATTGGTTTATATGTTTGTGTATATAGTTTCAGTTTCGATTCTGGACATAATTAGTTTATGTTTTTATACAAATTTGTATTATTTTGTTGCACTCTATTTGCTTTTGAAATTTTGTAGACAATTTGAAATCATACAGTTGTGAATTTTTACAGTGTTCTGTATTATATTTTTGAACAAGGAAGAGATTCAATCCATTTTGATATATACAAAATTCTAATTTCTATGTCATAATCAATTTTTGGTTCAACCGTTTTTTGATTGTGATGAAACGGTATTAGTATGTAACTTTTCATAAGCACTGTATTTTTTTTGGTTCCAAATAAATCACTTACCGTTTGAAACTCTTTACATCACTTGCATTGCATATATATATATATATATATATTCTTATATATGTTAATTCCCTTAAAATGCCATGGCATGCGTCCCTGTAATTTTGTATGAACAATGTATAAAGCCACATAAGGGAAGTAATGGTGTAACGGTTAGTTTGCCTTTATGAACAGTAGGCAATGCTTTATACACACGAGGAAGTTACTGTTGTAACGTTTGTTCATGCTGTTCCGAATTTCAAATTTTGATTTCTTTTTAAATCCATTTCATTGGTTTTTGGACAAAAGTTTTATGAAGATATGATTTTATTTAAGTATTAATTCTCACTTATGCAGTCATAATAATTATTTTGGGTTTTTTATTTCATAAATTTGATTTAAAATTTTGTTACTCAAGTAATGGATGTTATATTATGATTTCTATCAGAATTGTGGAGATATATTGATAGAAAATTAATTTTTCTTAGAATAGTTAAAATGTAGGGGTGCTTAAAGGATTTTACTAAAGTAACGGTTCCAATAATAGATCTACGAAGGATCGCATTTCTTTGTCTAAGACAAAGCTGGAGAAGAAACAAAAATGACTTTGTTAACTCTTAAGAACATCTCTATCTATTAATTAATTTTAGGTATGAGAGTGACATAGAGTAACGGTAAGTCTCGACGTAGTCAAAGACTTTAATACCGTATGACATTTGCTCTCAGTTGTGAATATTGTTTGAGGACAATATAGTTGATCCACTAAATACTCAATGATATATAACTGAGAAGGTCAAATGAAAAATAGCGGCCTCTAAACAAAAAGTTTTACCAGAGAACAAATGAAAGAAAGTTCATCGAGGGGAATGTGATTAAAACCTATTAATTTCGAGTCGTCATATATAATGGCAAACTTAGTTGACTGGACATCCCAAGATCTAGGTTTAAAGGGACAACCGAATTATGGATGACTCACCAGAAATCACTAAGGGAGTCTATCTTCTATCCATTTCTATGATGAGATTAATAACTGTAACATGTGTTGTATGCAGGGAACTTAAGATAAGCTATATTTTTAATGATCACTTATATCTTAAAAAAATTAAAAGAGTATCTTTTAAAAGGAGTATTTAAAAGACTTGAAATAAAGATAATCTAATATGAGTGTAAAGGGACCGCTTCTATGAGAATTGATAAGGCTAAGTTCTCTAGAGCACTCGTGAAATACCAGGACATGTCCAAGGCCAAAACGGCACAACCGTGAGAACTAAGCTATGTCTAGAGATATTCTATGTAAATTTTATTGTCTTAGCTTACACAAATAACTAAACAGTTCAAGACATCGTGTTCACTGATTAGCTAATAAGTCTGATAGTCTTTCACTAAGAAAGGTTCAAAGCCAAAAACTACATATCCTCATACAAGATATTTCCAAGCGAATTCTCTTTGAGTCTACATTGAGCCTTGCATACTTTTTCTTCATTTCATTCATGTGGGGAATTGTTGGAAAAATGATTTGAAAATCATTAATAGGTGAATGAGAAATTAACTCCAAAATGCATCATTTGAGTATAGTTTTAAGACAAAATTTATTTAATGCAAAATTAATTCTATTTAAATCAAATTTATTTATTTGGATCAAAATTGAATCGGATTCAATACAAAATTCAAATCTGTTTGAAAAAACAGTCATGTCTATTCTATTCTACTTATTCAATGAAAGAGTTGTCTCTCTTCATCGGAAAGTCACTACGACCATTCGAAAAGTCACCAATTTTCCTATACAAGCAGACCCTTATTACATTCATAAAGCATCGATTCATCTTGTATTTCTTTCCTTTGACACTGTCCTTTCTGTAAGAAAATTTTGCATAGCAAGGTTCGCCAAACTTGTCGTGGTAGTGCTACTTCTGCAAAGTTCGATCAGTGTATCCTGGAAGATGCACATCCAATAAAAACTCGTGAGTACCGTAACAAGAGACAAATTTGTCTTAAAAAAAATTATGTCCAACACAAGCCTCGATCAAACTGTTTTTGATTTCAGATTTTTACAATCTGTTTATAACTTTTTTACTTCTCTGTAAGTATTTCTGATTCTCTGTTTATATGGTTTGGTTTGGTTTGGTTTCGTTTAGTTTGATTTAGTTTGATTTTACCCAAACAATTTACGTTACATTCAACTTATATTTCTTTTATATAATTTGATAATATATTTAGTACAATAATTACATATTTCACACCGTACACATAAGGAATTATTCCAACAAATAATAATAATTCAAGGCTGAGCAGTACATTTGGAAAACTACATATGCAATCAATTGTCATTGAAACATACCATGCAATGGCCTTTTGAGGGGGAAAAAGAAATAGATAAAAGTGAAAGGTAAGTATCAAATTGCAAATTGAATCATGAATCGTTTAAGATAAAATAGTGAGTTGTAAATTGCATTGAATAGTGAAAGGTAAGATTCATTTTGTTTAATATAACATATAATTTTCTAAATGAATATACATATGAAAATACAGTGTTTAAAATGAAATAATATCAATATAAATAAATTATATATTTGCAAATATATAACACCATGTATATCAATATAACCAGTTTCCTCAAAAAACAAATATATCTATATAACTAATTGCCCTATTTTTGTGTCTTGATAGAGATGTGAGAAGGGCAATCATTTCAATACATTATGTAAACAAAAACAAAGCTAAATCGCAATTGTGAATTACGATTTACTCAATTTTCAATTCAACAGCACACTCAATTTCCAATTCTATAGCACGATTCAAATCATTTTGATTGAAACTCATATTAAATCGTGTGAATTTTATTGTGAATTGTACAATTCTGACAATATACTAGTTGGAACATGTAGAAGCTGGGTCAACAGAATAATTCATCAATTACAACGAAATACAATATCCATTTCCAAGCAATTGTAGCATTGTAAGCGAAGGAATTCCTGAGTGATAACTGAGGTTACAATTTACCTGGTTGACTCTGCTAGCTGGTACTGCTGGTGCTGCATGCCCTGTTGGTGCTGATGGCAAGATGAGCTCCTCCTTCCAGATCAGGATGAAGATATGCAGGCACTCCATCACCTTTGTCTCCATGCCCACGTCAGCTTCCAAAGCATCGAGGTCTGCATCACAACATTGAAAAGGAGCAATGAAAACGAAAAAAAAAGAAAGCACCCAATTTAGTCTCCAATGAATTGGGGGGGGTCGGGGAGGGATAGATTGGGTACAGACCTAATCTACGGCAAAACATATCCAAAATTATGTTTTGCCACCAGTAATGCAACTTTGTTGCAGACACTTGGGCTGGTAAGGAGGCAAACTTGGATGATATAAACTACTTTCCTTCTACATATATGACCAACATGTCCTAGAATTAAACTGTAGGGGTTACTACCCCTAACCCCCTGGCAAGCCAAGTTAAAAGAAATTTTTGTAGCACATTTTTCTTTACTTAATGATATTACACATTTTTTTTTCTTCTTCAAAGAAGAATATATACAAATCCAATGACATCTTTTGTAACCATGAAAAGTATGAAGCTGGTAGGGCAAACAACATTACTTACATTTCTGGTAACAAACCAGGTAGCATATTTCCTCTTCCACAAAGAAGTTTATAATACAATATATGAGCTTACCACCCATGAGTTCTTCCTCATCAACGTCTATGATCAGGTACATCATAGCTTCTACCAAGAGACTCGTGAATTTCATTGCTCACATCCATCAAGGTCCATCACATCTCATCTTGCAAGTTCTACAGATAATCAATAATCAAGCATTAAGAATTTCCAATAATAGGCACAATGGAAGTGAAGGAATACAATAAAAAATCATATACAAACAACAATGTCTTGAATCTTCAGAGTCTTCGTCATTTTTTTTCAACTTTTTGTTTGCCGATTTCAAAGCTGACATCTGGAAAGAATGCAACAAGATTAGTTGCGGCAAAATAAAGTCAAAACTAACTGCATTTGATTCACTAAAAAGTGCCTCCAGGGCATCCATTTCCTGGTAAACCAAAATAGACATTAATATGAAGCATGAGGGAATCTACGACACAGGTCGACCGCCCATTTTAGAAAGAATTTCCACCCTAGAGACAAATGGTAGTCCTCTACTTCTCACAAGGTAGGCAGCAGGTTCCAATCAGTGTACAGAACAAGCTCCTCCTGAAATCCCTTGAACCATGCCCCTTGGGGCGCTGCCAAGAAAAAGAATAATCTTATGGTGAATATAGTGTAGACCCATAATAGCCATACTATATGTAGCACAGTGAATCTTATATAAAAGTTGAAACATTATCATTAGTCAAGTGCTTATGTGATATACCTGCCTGAATGCCTGTGGGTGAAGTTTGGATTATCTGAATTGGAATAATACATTGCTTGTGAGTTTTAAGCCCACTTGAGAGTGGCAAATCATCTTGTTTTCTAAGCCCACCTGAGGGTGGCAAATTCGCATTTTAGCCTACTTGCGAGTAGCAAACCGTTTCAAAAGCAAACATGAGGTGTTTTGTTCTAATTCAGGCGATCCAATCTATACTTGTATGCTGTGTGCATCACGTAGTAAATCTAGGCTAATAACCGGAATAAGAGCACATAATGTTTTCAAAACTCAATATCATGGTTAGTAGAGGCCGATCTTTGATCGGACGAGCGGGGGTGCTCACGAAGTGACCTTCCCCAATCATACCCAAGTTCCCAAGCCGAGGCAACTTTGGTGATGACGGACACGCGACCTTAGGCAAACGAGTCAGGGTTTCCTAAATTTTCCAAAATAAAATATTTAGGTGGCGACTCTATATCTGGCAAAGCAATCCATGTTTGGCACTTCTTTCAAAAAAATCTGTTTTCAAAAACGATTTGCCGGATTTGGACTCTTTGATGATTCATCGATCTTGCATTGCACTCTACGAGATAAGATACAAGACCGTGACATTTGAGTCCGAACTGTAGTGAACCCAAACGAACAAAATGAGATTTCCTTCCCGGGACGTTCGGGGATGTCTACAAATGGGCAATACATCATTATCTTAGGTAAGCTCTCTCTCTCTCTCTCTCTTTATTATGCAAACTTAATTTTCTTTTCTACTATTCCACAATATTGAATTGCATACTTGTGTGTGTTGTAGCCTACTAGTTATGGCAGAGGATGTAGTAGGACAATTGGAAGTGGCAAAGTTATGTCCATATCTACATTGGGAGGTAGCTTCATAGCAAGCAGCAGAGGTGGAGGTAGGCCTACAAAAGCTACAACTAAAAGGAAAACTGACATAAACGATGATTATCTTTTGTTACAAATATTTGTTTGGAATGAATAAACGATGATTCTATCAAACATATGTCATTAGTTGTGACGGTGACACTTGTCTAACAATTAGTCATATTTTTGTGCTAATTTATATATTACCACTAATGTGGAGGAGAGAAATAGAGTTGTCTGCTAATCATAATTCATGACAAGTTACCCACAAAAACTCAAACAAGAAGTATTCAAAATAAAGAGTTTGAATATTAATTTGGAGATACAAGTATTTTTACTTGATTGCATTGTAAGGATTTATACAATCAAATGAGGTTTTGAATTGTTTGGTTTTTGAGCAAAATCTTTATGATGATATAATTTTGTTTAAGCATTAATTTTGACGTGTGTAGTTATAATTATTCTGGGTTTTCTATTTTATAAATTTGATTTTGAGTTTTGTTACTCAAGCACGCCATAGTTAACAAGTGATGGATGTTATATTCTGGTTTATATCAGAATTGTGGGGGTGTATTCATAGGAAATTAATTTTTCTTAGAATAGTTAAAATGTAGGGGTGCTTGAAGGATTTTACTAAAGTAACGATTCCAATAATGGGGTCTACAAAGGATTGCATTTCTTTGTCTAAGACAAAGCTGGAGAAGAAACAAAAATGACTTTGTTAACTCTTAAGAACATCTCTATCTATTAATTAATTTTAGGTATGAGAGTGACATAGAGTAACGGTAAGTCTCGACGTAGTCAAAGACTTTAATACCGTATGACATTTGCTCTCAACTGTGAATATTGTTTGAGGAAAATGTAGTTGATCCACTAAATACTCAATGATATATAACTAAGAAGATCAAACGAAAAATAGCGGCCGCTAAACAAAAAGTTTGACCAGAGAACAAATGAAAGAAAATTCATCGAGGGGAATGTGATTAAAACCTATTAATTTCGAGTCATCATAATGGCAAACTTAGGCCTCGTTTGGGAACATGCTAATTTAATAACTTTTTGGCTATTTGGCTAAAATATGAGCTAAAAAAAATTAGTATGTTTGGGATGACTTTTTAACTTTTTACGAAAAGATGTACAAAAAGTAGAGAGAAAAGAGAATCTTTGACTTTTTGGTATGGGTTGTTGGCTTTTTAGCTTTTATAATAACTTTTTGACTTTTTGACTAAACCGACATGTTGCCAAACGAGACCTTAGTTGACTGGACATCCCAAGATCTAGGTTTAAAAGGACAACCGAATTATGGATGACTCACCAGAAATCACTAAGGGAGTATATCTCCTATCCATTTCTATGATGAGAGTAATAACTGTAACATGTGTTGTATGCAGGGAACTTAAGATAAGCTATATTTTTAATGATCACTTATATCTTAAAAAACTTAAAAAGAGTATCTTTTAAAAGGAGTATTTAAAAGACTTGAAATAAAGATAATCTAATATGAGTGTAACGGGACCGCTTCTATGAGAATTGATAAGGCTAAGTTCTCTAGAGCACTCGTGAAACACCAGGACATGTCCAAGGCCAAAACGGCACAACCGTGAGAACTAAGCTATGTCTAGAGATATTCTGTGTAAATTTTATTGTCTTCGCTTACACAAATAACTAAACAGTTCAAGATATCGTGTTCACTGATTAGCTGATAAGTTTGATAGTCTTTCACTAAGAAGGGTTCAAAGTCAAAAACTACATATCCCCATGCAAGATATTTCCAAGTGAATTCTCTTTGAGTCTACATTGAGCCTTGCATACTTTTTCTTCATTTCATTTATGTGGGAAATTGTTGGAAAAATGATTTGAAAATCATTAATAGTTGAATGAGAAATTAACTCCAAAATGCATCATTTGAGTATAGTTTTAAGACAAAATTTATTTAATTCAAAATTAATTCTATTTAAATCAAATTTATTTATTTGGATCAAAATTGAATCGGATTCAATACAAAATTCAAATATGTTTGAAAAAACAGTCATGTCTATTCTATTCTACTTATTCAATGAGAGAGTTGTCTCTCTTCATCGGAAAGTCACTACGACCATTCGAAAAGTCACCAAATTTCCTATACAGGCAGACCCTTATTGCATTCATAAAGCATCGATTCATCTTGTATTTCTTTCCTTTGACACTGTCCTTTCTGTAAGAAAATTTTGCATAGCAAGGTTCGCCAAACTTGTAGTGGTAGTGCTACTTCTACAAAGTTCGACCATTGTATCCTGGAAGATGCACATCCAATAAAAACTCGTGAGTACCGTAACAAGAGACGAATTTGTCTTAAAAAAAATTATGTCCAACACAAGCCTCGATTAAACTGTTTTTGATTTCAGATTTTTGCAATCTGTTTATAACTTTTTTACTTCTCTGTAAGTATTTCTGATTCTCTGTGTATATGGTTTGGTTTGGTTTGGTTTGGTTTAGTTTGATTTTACCCAAACAATTTACGTTACATTCAACTTATATTTTTTTTATATAATTTGATAATATATTTAGTACAATAATTACATATTTCACACCGTACACATAAGGAATTATTCCAACAAATAATAATAATTCAAGGCTGAGCAGTACATTTGGAAAACTACATATGCAATCAATTGTCATTGAAACATATCATGCAATGGCCTTTTGAGGGGGAAAAAGAAATAGATAAAAGTGAAAGGTAAGTATCAAATTGCAAATTGAATCATGAATCGTTTAGGATAAAATAGTGAGTTGTAAATTGCATTGAATAGTGAAAGGTAAGATTCATTTTGTTTAATATAACATATAATTTTCTAAATGAATATACATATGAAAATACAGTGTTTAAAATGAAATAATATCAATATAAATAAATTATATATTTGCAAATATATAACACCATGTATATCAATATAACCAGTTTCCTCAAAAAACAAATATATCTATATAACTAATTGCCCTATTTTTGTGTCTTGATAGAGATGTGAGAAGGGCAATCATTTCAATACATTATGTAAACAAAAACAAAGCTAAATCGCAATTGTGAATTACGATTTACTCAATTTTCAATTCAACAGCACACTCAATTTCCAATTCTATAGCACGATTCAAATCATTTTGATTGAAACTCATATTAAATCGTGTGAATTTTATTGTGAATTGTACAATTCTGACAACATACTAGTTGGAACATGTAGAAGCCGGGTCAACAGAATAATTCATCAATTACAACGAAATACAATATCCATTTCCAAGCAATTGTAGCATTGTAAGCGAAGGAATTCCTGAGTGATAACTGAGGTTACAATTTACCTGGTTGACTCTGCTAGCTGGTACTGCTGGTGCTGCATGCCCTGTTGGTGCTGGTGGCAAGATGAGCTCCTCCTTCCAGATCAGGATGAAGATATGCAGGCACCCCATCACCTTCTGTCTCCATGCCCACGTCAGCTTCCAAAGCATCGAGGTCTGCATCACAACATTGAAAAGGAGCCATGAAAATGAAAAAAAAAGAAGCACCCAATTTAGTCTCCAATGAATTGGGGGGGTCGGGGAGGGATAGATTGGGTACAGACCTAATCTACGGCAAAACATATCCAAAATTATGTTTTGCCACCAGTAATGCAACTTTGTTACAGACACTTGGGCTGGTAAGAACTTGGATGATATAAACTACTTTCCTTCTACATATATGACCAACATGTCCTAGAATTAAACTGTAGGGGTTACTACCCCTAACCCCCTGGCAAGCCAAGTTAAAAGAAATTTTTGTAGCACATTTTTCTTTACTTAATGATATTACACATTTTTTTTTTCTTCTTCAAAGAAGAATATATACAAATCCAATGGCATCTTTTGAACCCCATGAAAAGTATGAAGCTGGTAGGGCAAACAACATTACTTACATTTCTGGAAACAAACCAGGTAGCATATTTCCTCTTCCACAAAGAAGTTTATAATACAATATATGAGCTTACCACCCATTAGTTCTTCCTCATCACTGACTGTGATCAGGTACATCATAGCTTCAACCAAGAGACTCTTGAATTTCATTGCTCACATCCATCAAGGTCCATCGCATCTCATCTTGCAAGTTCTACAGATAATCAAGAATAAAGCATTAAGAATTTCCAATAATAGGCACAATGGAAGTGAAGGAATACAATAAAAAATCATATACAAACAACAATGTCTTGAATCTTTTCAGTCTTCGTCATTTTTTTTTCAACTTTTTGTTTGCCGATTTCAAAGCTGACATCTGGAAAGAATGCAACAAGATTAGTTGCGGCAAAATAAAGTCAAAACTAACTGCATTTGATTCACTAAAAAGTGCCTCCAGGGGTAAACCAAAATAGACATTAATATGAAGCATGAGGGAATCTACGACACAGGTCGACCGCCCATTTTAGAAAGAATTTCCACCCTAGAGACAAATGGTAGTCCTCTACTTCTCACAAGGTGCAGCAGGTTCCAATCAGTGTACAGAACAAGCTCCTCCTGAAATCCCTTGAACCATGCCCCTTGGGGCGCTGCCAAGAAAAAGAATAATCTTATGGTGAATATAGTGTAGACCCATAATAGCCATACTATATGTAGCACAGTGAATCTTATATAAAAGTTGAAACATTATCATTAGTCAAGACCTATATTACATAGACTCTTCAAAATGAATCAAATACCCATGTCAGACATCCAACACTTGGACAAGGGTGTGGGATATGTGTCCGATACATCGGGCACTAATTATATATTTGTATTTAACACTATCATTATATGTATATACTGTTGTCTAATTTCTATAGAGAGTAAAATATCTTTTTGTCACTGTATGTCACATATAACATCATTTTATATCATATGATAAATTAAAAACATAAAAATACAACCACTTTTTGCCGAGTCTATGTAACCTTAAATTTGAGTTTGATAGGTCCAAACTCTAGATACGCACACGTACACACTACAAAAGAATGGCCCTAGGTGGAATATTCAAAATTTCCCCCTAATTAAGTTTGAAAATCAGGGCAAGACGAACGTTCTTGCCAAATAACACTTAGGTTCCTTAAATACTTAATCCATTGACAGTTCATCGTCAAGTTATGAGAAGAAACCTCTGAAAAGAAACGAAAGGCACAACAAATCTTCAAATTTGGCATATATTTCAGTAATGTAAGGCACATATATGTAGCACTAATGGCCATTGTTCAGTTTGTTCATTCATATTAAATTTTGTTTAACAATTATTAAATTGTACGAGAGTATTCATGTAGAGTTGTTTACGTGGTGTTGCTGGCCAATGTGAAACTGCAATCCACACTAAGTCAGTCATCTTAATCTCTCTCACTTAGTCAACAAAGGTAAGTCATTGTGTTCTCCGTAAGATTCTCACTGCGCCATTGATTTGGATCCACACGTAATGCCCATGCATGGGCGGAGCTATATGTAGCTGAGTGGTGTGAATTCACACCATTGAACTTCTTAAATTATATTTTAATAAAAATGAGTTTTTGTAAATTGACCCCATTGAGCTTAGGAATAAGAAAAAAAGTTTGGAATTTTATAAATTGACTCCAGTCGAGTTAACAACAAATCAACTTTAAATAAAGATTTTTTTCAATCTTCTAAATCTATTTTAAATTTATAATTGTTGATATGTGCTCAAACAATTACGCATTTGAATTAGTGATATGTGTAAGGCTGCGGATTCAACACCCATAGAGAAGAGTTTCATGTAAGAATTTATTCTTAATTAAGTTGTCATTGACTATATTTTGTTTAGTTTGTGAAAAAACGGGTTAAACGTGATTCAGAATAGATGACTGATATGAGTCCAAAATTATTATTGTGATCCATAAAGTTTGGGTCATGGGTCATCTTAGTTTTATATATATTTTTATGTGTGGATATGTGATATGGAGGTGTAAAGTATGTTTTAAGTTATTTGGGTTTTCCTTAATGGAGGCCCAGTAATTTTTTATTACGCCCAGTCCCTCTCCTATCCTTATTAGGGTTTATATATATTATATATATGTAGATCAAAGGTTTGTCAACCCATTGAAAAGACAACAAAAAGATTAGAGAATGAGGGAAGAGCCTGGTGCTAATGTTTTTTCCAATTGTGAATGCCATACTTCTTTCTAGGAAGCAAAACTCAAGACAATTAACGGAATCAAACGGTATGTATCTGAGTTTATATTTTTAGTAGTTTACTTATATTCATAGTGTTTTGATTTCTAGTATATAGATCCTATAATCTTACATATGGTATCGAGCAAGTTTATAACAGAATCAAAATCATGGCAGATTATTTAGTAAAATTATTTTATATAATGATAAGGAATAAATTAATATTTCTTTTACTGAATGATGCTTTTTGCATCTCAAAATTGTATTTAGTAATTTAAAGCAAACTTTTGCAATGTAACGAGTACAATACTGTTTGAGTATTGATAGTTTGCTTCAATTGTGTTATATAAAATAAAAATAAAAATAATTTAAGATATGGTAGTTTTACGAAAATTGTGAAGTATGGACGTGTGTATATTGAATCTGTAATTGATCTTTGTATATATATAAATTTCAAATCTTACCTAATCAAATATTTGCAAAACATATGAACAATATTCGTTTTATGACTTTTACATAAACATTAAGATTGTTTAAGAGTTCTATATCATGTATATCACTTTGGTGTAATTTTTGTAAATTCATATACGAATTTTGGTTGGCCGTGAGATATTATTTTTGAGTAACTGTTTAGTATGGATTCGTAATATGATATTATATATGCTTTTGATGGATTACAGATTGCATTATTGTTAATAAATAAATAAAGTTTTAGAGGTGGACAAATATTTATTTTTTTAGTCCCAGTTGGAAGTTTTTAATCAATATGGGTGATACTGCCGAAGTGTTAACTTATTGAGATTTTAAAGTGATCACCAATAAGGATTCTGGGAAGCTCTTCTAATATTATATCACTCAATTACCTACCTAAAGGGGGTTAATTGAGTGATTAATTTTAAGAGGTAGTGTGAGCCGCTAGTAAGGGAAATTTTTTTTTTTTTTTTTTTGAAAGAATTTATCTACCAAGGAGATAATTTTTGATAAATCATTCTTGCTAGTTGACTTGTTTATAGGTGTTAGAATGTGTCTTATATATTTAGCCCAAAGATATTTATATGATGATGCATTTTGAAACATCTAAAAAGATTGTTAAAGTTTATTTGCAGCCCATTGCTGTGAGATTATAATTATTGCCCATGTATAATTAGTTAAGATTATATTGAAGTTTAAAGATGTTGATTGATTCTATATATTCAACCCAAAGGTGTTTATATAGTGATACATTCTGGCACATCTGAGAATATTGCTAAAGTTTATTCGCAGCATATTCTTGTGAGATTGTACTAATTGCTTATGTATAATTGAAAGTTGGAGTTGTGAACATGCTTTCTATATATTCAGTTTAAGAGTGATATATTTTAAATATTTGAGAATATTAATTGTGATTATGAGATTATTATTGTCCATATAATTGAATGATATTATATGAATTGAAAAGCAATGAAGGGAGATATTTTTATGAAAATCAAATTTACTCCATTAAAGTTTTGATTATGAATCGGTTAAAAGATATTGAGTTAGCTTTAAGACTAACTGATTTAGAATATTGACATACTCGAGAATGTGTCTTCTTAACCATTTATATTAAGATCTCAATATAGTGTGAAAGATTGAAATAATTCAATGTTAACTATTTAAGAAAGTAGAGTTTTAAAATATTCACTTGGTGATTCTTAGAAGAAAATCTAAATTATACTCTAAATGCTCTATATAATACCTTCGACTTTTACAAATCGTTATCTTTCTTCAGTGTTTTTATGTTTCCTTTTTCAGAATATTCCGCAAATCTCTTTATATATTATTAACTCAAGTAAGAAAATTTTTAGAATTTTTTGTGAGCTAGATGCTCTTCCCACCTTCGGAATCTCCTTATTTATTTTTAAAACTGCTTAAAAAAATGCCTGTGTAATGCAAAATTTATTTG